CATATTCAACCCTTATTTTCTGCCTCACCAGCTCCAGCCTTCACAACAATGCAACAAACAAGGAGTTTTTAGTCCTGTGAGAAACAAGGGACGACATCCTCTTGCATATGCCATGCGCATAAGCCTTTGACAGAGGACTTCTATAAATATCTTTCAAGTAACAATGCTACAGCTTCTTGAGAACTCAACCATTCCTAGAAAACTATTTATAGTTTTAATTTGTTATATATAGTATTGTGTAGATTTCCATGATGATATCCAGCAATGGAAGAGGCTGCTGATTTTTGGATTATGTAAGAAGTTGTATACATCTTTCTTAAAAATAAGAAAGGCCTAAACTTCCTTTTTGTGCATATTACAAAAGGGAGATTACTCACTATTTTTCTCTATGAAATAAGCTGTGTGGCAAAACTCATGCCTCAATGATTACCTCAAGATCAACAACATGCTGAATATAATGATATTTATGAATAAACTCTACTTAAATCCACATGTGCCAAAAGAGTTCAGAATTTTTTGAATTTCTCTTAAATGGAATTGAGAAATAGGTTTTTATATACACCCCATATCATACATCATTTGCAATTTTTAATTTTAAAATTGAACTATTTTTAATACTTAATGGACAGGCAAAATTAATTGCATTAAATAATTGTAATTAATTAATTTTTAATTTAATATAATTATTTTTTATTGTTTTTAGGAAAAAAGAGAGTGCTCTTTTTCATAAATAACTATGGAATATTAACAATTTAAGTTTGGCTGAATTGTACCTTTTAGGTGATATATCAGCAGAAATGTTGTGCTCTTAAAGAAAAAGACTTAGAAGTAAACAAAGAAACAAAAACTGTCTGTTCCAAGAATGAGTTTTTGTACCACAATTGTGTGGCAGGACTACAGATGTGATTCCAAAAAAGCAGTTTATATAATCACATAGTAAATATCCAGTTTAGTTCCCCAATAACATCTGATTAAAAGCAATACACTTTACCTACTGTAATTGTTTAGCTATTATATTATATGTTATCTTATAAGTGTGCTTCCCAATTCAAAATTTATCTATGAACTGATAAATGTATAATATCACTAATTATGAAATATCTAACAATGTTCTGTACATGTTTTTCTGCTCATGTAACATAATTTCATGTAATGGTTTATTTTAGGAAGGGGGAAACAAACATTCCTATACAAATAAATCTTATTCTTTTTGAAATATAAGAACAAATGGATCAAAACGTTAGCGGGTTAGTTTTTTTCTATCACGGAATTATTTCCAGTTTAAACTAATATGAAAATATCCTAAATAAAAACAATAAATGAACTTGTGAACTGTTTTTATTACTGGTTTAATACCAATTTCTAAAATAAATACATTTTTTACTATACTCACATGGCAAATTCAATGAAAGAATAACAAATAACCTTGTATTGCAATTAAGCAAATTGTCATGGGTGACTTGCTCTGAAGTCATACTTGCAACCAGATAATTGTAAGGGGAGTGGGGAAGGAAGGCATTTGAATGTAAGGGAGGTTTGGGAGGGAAATTTGGAATGTAAGAGTGCTGAAGGAAGTATGACACAGACCCAACACTTCAAGGCCACTAATTGGGGAAGTCTGAGGCAGACAGATTGTCTCAAAACAAAGAGTGCAAATGATTGAGGGACAATGGACAATGGGAAGTCCAAGGGAAAAGGGGAACATTTCCTATGCTGTTTTCATGTGAAATTGTTAGAACTGGTTTTTCAACTCCTGTAACCACGTGGAATTTTCAGTAAATTTATATTATTGGTTAAAAAAAAAAAAGTCCCAGGAGTTTCTTTTGCTGTCTAACCTAGTGAGACAGCTGGCACAAAGTTGAATGACACATGACAAATAGTGAGTAATATTATTTGTGGAAAACTTTAACATTGTTAGCCAGCAAGATGAAAAAGGAACTCAATTCCCCCAAGACATCCCCACCCAATAAGACAGAAACTTTAGAAAAAACACCGTAGAGGATATTTCTCTGTAAAACAGAAACATTCTTAAAGATCCAGTAACATTAAACAAGTTAACATTGTTCGATTTTAAGATGTAAAGAAAAATGATCACATAATGATGTATCTTAATTGAAAGTATATTGCTAATGGTTTTAAAATTAAAAGAAAGGTATTAATTTATACTCCATCATGAAAAGTACCATATTTTTCATACTATAAGATGCTGCGAAGTATAAGACACATATAGCTTTTGAAGAGCAAAACAAGAAAAAAAAATCTGCCTCTGCCTCCCAGCAATGTGCCTCCTTGCAGCAAATAGCAAACATCCTGGTCAGCTTCAGCACAGCCTGATTAGCACAAGCAGCTGATTGTCGGTTGGATTGGCCTCAACAATCAGTTGTTTCAGGCTGCAGGGATGGCCATTGCCTATTGACACCTCTGTACACTCCATTTTTGGCCTCTGCATCCCATTTTTGACCTGGCAGATAGGCGGGCCTTTGGCAACATTTGCTATATAAGATGCACAGACATTTCTACCCACTTTGCGGGTGGGGGAAAGTGTGTCTTATACACAGAAAAATATGGTATATTATGTGAAAATTATTTAATCATTTTGAAGTTAATTATCAGTTTTGATTTGATTTCACCTTTAGTACAATCCTTTCAAAAATAGTATGTGTATATAAAACACAATGTGTAAAATAGTGATGATACGGAACAATGCTATTGTTTTTATAGCAAAGGACAGATGGATGAGGTAGAAAAAATATTTTCTAAACACACATTTTAAATTTGAATAGGTTAAAAAAAGCTTGAAGCAAAAATATACAGAAAAGTCATGCTCGATATCACATTGCAGTCCTGAATAATAAATGTTATGTCAAAATATTTAAGTGGTATTTCTAGTCAAACTCCTTTAGGTTGGCTTTGTCAGGGTCATAAAATAGTAGGACTGAAATATGTTATTTAGCATTTCTGTGATTAATTGACAATTTATGTGTCATCAATATCAATAGGCAGGAACACATTGAACCTTGGGGTTAGCATTATGTTTTGGCTCCAAGCTACAATATTCAACCATAGTCCAGGGACTGTTCCTGTGACTATACATTATCGCCTACATATTGCAGGATAATCTCACATCTGGTTAATCTTTGCAACAATATGTCTTGTTAGTAGGTTACTAAGCACCCAACAGCTTATGGGGGCAATGATTGATACCATCAGAATGCAGCCCAGGGTTTATTTATTTATTCATTAGAATTGTTGAACTGCCCAATAGCCATAGCTTTCTGAGTGATTAACAATAAACACAAGAAAATAAAGGAAAGAATGAATTCATGTTAAAATATATCCACTAAAATATAAAATAGACACTATACAAAGTAGGTAGAGGAAGTAATCAAAATGAATTTAATTATAAATTAAATTATAATCATTATAATTTTAATTATTAATCATACGTAACGAATTATATTAAAATATAATTAAAAAGCATAAAAGCATTCTGGTAAAACCTGATCTCCTATCCTGCTATTCAATTTAAATTTTAAATGAAAGTGATGTGTATATGAGTGTATTCAGTTTAGGATGAGAAACAGTACAATAAAAACTGAAACTCTTGATGCTACTAAGTGCATAATTATGTTGGGTAACACTGGCAAAAACAAGGAAATTATTTTTCAAGAAAGAAAATGTGAGCTCTGCTTTGCATATGATTTGTATACAATACATAGCCAAGTAAAATAACAGGTCAGAGATTTACGCTTCCTTATTTAGGCTTCAAGTTCATACTAAAAAGACAGTTTTGATTTGCAAAATGATTTTAACCTTTATTAACATCAATTATACCCAGCAGCACTGATGTTAACTTCATATACAAGTTTTCGATTATGAACTTAGTCAAAATGCTACTATTTATATCTCTATAAAGTTAGTTCATTGCAATACAAATAGTAGTGCTAATGGCATTAATAGCAGCATTCAGCAGCATCACAGATACTAAAAGTTCTCTGCGGTTGTATTTCTGTGTATATTAATCAATTGGATAATTTGGACTATTCACCTATACTTAATTGAATAGTCCAAGTTATGTAATTGGTTCCATAATAAACATGAATGCTCTTAAGAAGAAATCCAGCATACAATAATTCTTTATAAATATTTCTGATAAAAGTTATTGATATATTTTAATATAGATCAGGGGTGTCAAACTCAAGGCTTGGAGGCTGGATCCAGCCCATGGGGTGCTTAGATCCGGCCCATGGGGTTGCCCTGGAAGTCTTGGACTGCGGTGCCTCTGCCAGTGAAAATGGAGCTCGGGAGGGCCACGGCCAACCCTCTTGAGCTCCGTTTTTGCTGGCAAAGGTTTTCAGCAGGCCATTGCAGCCAAAAACTGAGCTTGAGAGCCCTTTTTCACTGGCAGAGCACTTAGGCTACCACAGGCGCCGACACGAGTGATGTTGAGCTGCCACGTCCACCCTGGCCATGCCCCCCCAGCCCGCCCAAGATCAAACACAACCCTGATGCAGCCCTCAATGAAATAGAGTTTGACACCCCTGATATAGTGGTAGGATTCACATTTTTTTACTACCGATTCTATGGGCATGGCTTTGTGGGCGTGGCAAGGGAAAGATACTATAAAATCTCCAATCAGAGGTGATATTTGCTAGTTCAGAGAACTACTCAAAATTTTCCATTACCGGTTCTTCAGAACTGGTCAGACCTTGCTGAATACCACCTCTGCCCTGATATAGATCACGTAAAAACATCTTAAAGGCCTTTATCAAGCTGAAAACTTGTCTTAGATATTTTTGGTCTTGATATAATTCTCTTGTAATGTGGGTGTCTCCCAGATATTGTAAGATCTCACTGAGTTATTACAATCCACCCTCATTTGCAAGAGTGATAGCTGGATGTTGATACCTTCAATTCTCTCAGTGATGATGCAGAGGTTGCTTTATGAGAAGCAGAATGAGAAGAGGTTTTAACACAAAATAATAGTAGTAATTACTTACGGTCTCCATAGCAACGCAGAGAACCCACAGTTAACTTGGCATCAGAACCTGGTCGAGCAATATCTCCAACTACCACTTGACTGATAGGTAAATGATCTTTGTAAGATAAAAGACCAGCATCTTTTCTCCTATGTAATGAAAAGAAATAAAACTCAAACATACTTATAATAAGATGTTTAGTGGAAGTCTGAGTCAACCTTGAGCTAGTCAGGATTGAATTCCTGACAGTGAGCAGAGTCAGCCTGCAATGTATTCTAACCACTGTATTATTAAAATATTCTATTGCTGCCTTTGATCGTCTAGATCTTCAAACTTGGCAAGTTTAAGACTTGTGGACTTCAACTCCAAGAATTCCTGAGATAACATGACTGGAGGAGGAATTCTGGGAGTTGGTCCACAAGTCTTAAAGCTGTTAAGTTTGAAGACCCCTGATCTAGATCTGCCATTGTATAAGCTTCCATTTTTTTCACCACTCCTGGGATTGAACTATGCTCGAGGATGTTGTTTTCTAACAGCTGACAATCTTTCCCTTACATAAATGTTTTCACCTTTAAGAGGCATGGACTTCAACTCCCAGAATACAGTTAAAATCCATACTTCTTAAGTTGCTGAAATTTATTCATTTACATTTACCATCTTACTATAAGGTAACTCTGAGTGGCTTAAAGACATAAAAATACATCTATATTAAAAGATGAGTACATTAAAATCAATATTAAAAATTAAGGGATTGTGGAGAGGGAGAGATGGAATTGGGGGAGGGGCAAGATCTGTTGTTGCTTGATCAACCATCTCCACTCTGCTGTTCCCCCATTAGGGCCCAGACCAACTGGCAGAGGCAGGTCTTTAGCCCATGCAAAAGAATATCAGAGTTGGGGCCAACCTCACATCAGGAGGCAAGATGTTCCAGAAGACAGGAGCAACAGCTGAAAATATCTGCCTCCTGGACATTGCCATCCAGAATAATTGGGTTGATGGTATCCACAGCATGTCTCCTTTGCTGTCACAAGAGGGAAGGCCAAATTTCACCAGGGTGAGATGGTACCTCAAGTAATCATGAAGGGCTTTGAAGGTGATCACCAACACCTTGAACTGCATCCAGAAGGAGATCAGCAACCAATGCAGGTTGCAGAACAGTGGTGTCACAGGGGCCATTCTTGCCCCCCCCCCAAAAGTATGAGATTACTAGGGAGAAATGTTGAGGAACACTTCCATAGAAACCTGTTGTCAGTACAGCTATTAACAGATTGGTTCAATTACAGTTTTGAGACTGAAAAATCAAATGAAATATATTTGATAATGTCATGTAGAATTCAACCTGCCAGGAACAGTGATCAGTCATTCCACTCTATAAGTTGTGCTGGAGACATTGCTGAATAAAGGTCTATTTCATATGGAAGCCAGCCAACAATCATTTTGTATGTGTGGAGACTAGTTCTTTTGCAACTTGACCATTGGAGAAGCAATTAATTGCTGCTCTCATGCTGAATTATATTTGGGTTTTACTGCTTAACTAGTACATGCTTATTTGGGGGTGGGGGTGGGGGTGATTTCTTGCACCATTCTTTATTATACTTTATCTCGGTTTGCTGGAGGAAGGAAGAAGACAAAATGGAGAGCAGAGACTAAGTCACAAAAAATGAAATGTGAAAGAGGATTTATCACAGAAATTGATTTAACATAATTTAGGCATCAGTAGAATTAGTAGGAAATATATATTAATATTTATTGGATATAAATAAGATTGTGGACCCATCTTATTAATTGACAATAACAAAAAGCATTATTGCTTCATTATTCATTATTGTAAGGATGTTTCATACCATTAACTATTTGCTTGGTCATCAGTAAGCATCATATTAATTTGATACAAAGGAAAACATATTTTTAAAGGAAATGCAATTAAAGCAATTAAGAAAACAACATTAATATTTTAGAATATTATTTCTTTGGAATAGTTGCCTAACTTCTATGATTAGAAGCTTTATTAGTATGCTTTTCAAATAGCATTAAACTGCTTTTCAAATAGCATTAAACAAAGGCTGTAAGTACTGGACTGTTTTATTTTGAGTTGGTTTTCATTTGTTTATTTTTATTGTACTTGGTTATTTATTTCAAGAATATCTGTACTGCATTTCAAAAGAGGTTTTCCCAAAGTGATTTATAAACCCCCCAACCCCCAAGGTAAATACTAATACTATAAAATCACATTAAAATCCCATTAAATCTAATAAGTAGATAAATCACACAACCCAACAAAATAATAAAATATAAGCCCAAATTAAGCACAGAAAAATGTACTTTACAGTAATAATTAAATCTTCCTGAAATCAAAAGTGTTCTCTTATACATAACTATACCAGTGGTGGATTCAAATTTTTTTTTACTACCGGTTCTGTGGGCATGGCAGTGGAAGGAAAGTACAAAATCTCCATTCCCACCCCAGTCCAAGGGGAAGATACTGTGAAGACCCAGCTGATCAGCTGGGACTCTGGAGGCAGACAATACATAGGGGTAGGGCCTGTCAGAAGTGGTATTTGCCAGTTCTCTGAACTACTCAAGATTTCCGCTCCCGGTTCTCCAGAACTGGTCAGAACCTGCGGAATACCACCTCTGAACTACACACATACATATGCACACAAATATTTATGAAATGTACAAATTCATACAGGGGTAACTATAGGAATATCATTTCTATTGCTTAAATATAAGTATATCCTCCAGAATTCTAAACATAATTTTCAAATATAAATATACAATTATTTATATTTAGTATTTTTCTAAATAACTTTGAACCCAGAGATAACTTCTGAGAACATATGCAAAGAGTAAAACATGACCTCAGCATGGGAAATAAATTCACTAAGACAAAAAACCTCAACACTGCTTCATCTTATTTCTCTTTTGTATAAGACAGCAGTAAGGACAGATTTTTAAAGATATTCTTAATTACAGTTTATATCAACTAAAGCTTATATTTATTCATTTATTTTCTTTATTTGATTTTGTCAAGCGATTATAAGATAATAGGTATAAGTATAAACATAGTTATGAATACATGAAATGGATACATATAAGAAAAATAAAACGAAACAATAGGACAGGGATGGTAGCATCTTTTTTACTGAATTGCCTATAGTCTGAAAGGCTGACAGTGGGTGCGGGCAATCACAAAGCATTTTTAAATTAGCAAGCAAAGGAAGCACTGGACTCAATAGGATTCAGAGTCATCTTCTTATTTACTTGAGGCTGCCATTAGCATGTCTTCATTTTAAAAATTAACTTAAAATCAATTAAAAGCAAATGAAATAGGCAAAGCTGTTTGTTTGGTACTGGAATGATTTAGAGACCGTGGCTCAAAGGTATCTGTTACAAATCAAGACAGTGAAAGAATAGTGAAATATGAGTCATGGTTTCTTAAGACAAAGCCTGGTTTTCATATGGGATTTATATTAGTACCTGACAATTCATATTTAATTAATTGTGCTCTTTGTGGAGGCCCATATTCAGATTCAAGACTATTTGTTTGTTTATAATAACATACAAATGTCTTACAAAACTTGACAGTTCTATGAAGATTCAGGGAGGTATTAAGGTGAAGACATTTGACAGGTATCCCAAAAGAAAAACTGGTATAAGTGAATATATTAAACAGTTCATCTTGAAATGAAACACAGTATATTGTTAACCTTAAACCTATTTAAAATTTAGAATTGTACACAGTGATAATGCGCTCTAGTTTACAAAGAATTAAAAAAATTACCAGAACATAATACTCTGTTTTAATGCATCTTGTATTTTTGTATTGTCTTAGAATAAAAATAAAATAAAATAAAAATAACTATTCACCAGGCATCTTGATCTTGGCCATCAATACTGAATATTTCTACAAAAGATGAAGCACAAAAATACTTAACTGTTCTCATATGTAATTTCTTTCATTCAGATTATGAGTATTTCTAAATTTTCATTTAAAAATAATAAATGTATTATTCCAGCCCATGACTTCTTTTGCACTCAATTATTTTTTGAGAAAAATCAAAATATAAATTGCTACTTCATAGTAAGCCTAGTAAGCCTAGTAAGTTACTGTAGCTAAGAAAGATAATGTCTTTTGCAGAAATAATTCTGAATAGAAATAAAAGTAATTTGGGCAGAACTTAGAGGCTAAAATAAATTTCATCATTTATCATTTCTAGAGAAACAGAAGAGCTATGGTTTTGAGGTATCATTGGCCAGAGGCTGTTGCCAGCAGAGGTTAAAAGGCTTGAAACAAATTTGTCGAGCAGTTGAGCTGCAGTGAAGAAGAAAAGAACCTTGAAAGAAAATAAGAACAGAAGGTGAAGAGAAAAAAGGCTGCCTTGGAAATGGCAGTGCTTAAAACAATAGTTAGTAATACAAAAAGTTTCTGTTCTGTACGTGCTGGTTGAGGTGGAGATGCTAATAATTAGTAGAGAAACTGAATAAATGTGACTCATAATTGGAAATCAGCCCACATTTTTGTTTATAACTTCCCTACATTCACTTTAAATAGTAATAATAATAAGCTTAAATTTAATTCTATCTATGATACTTTATAGTACACATTCATACACATAATTGCTTTCCCAGCTAGTAAAGTTTTTCCTATGAATAAATTATTTCCTCAATGAGGCAATACCTTTCAGAGAAATCTTTCTGGATTTAACATATTTAAATAGGCTCTATTGATGAAACATTTTCATATTATTGAACAGAACAATTTAAAAAAATATTGGGAATAGTATCACCAAGATTTACCTAGCTCATTTATAATTTTCCTAGATTTGTCTTCTTTTCTTACAGATTTAAATACATTTTTCTATATATATTCTAACTTCAAAAGAGAATTATGAATTATCATTGCCTGAATATATTGCATAATGTTGCTTCAATGATGCTTTTCAGATAATCATCCAAAGTAGATTCTTTGCAGCATCACAACTTTAACCTTGGAATATCTTATTAATTCAATAAAAATTTAATGATAATCTCTGTAATATTTAAGGCATTGCCAATTATAATTTGCCTGTGCATCAATGGTGTGATTCAATTTTTTTTAATACCAGTTCTGTGAGCATGGCTTGGTGGTGTGGCTTGGGGAGCATGG